CCCGGGTGTTCCCAAACCCCCTCCAGGGATGGGGGGCTCACCTGGCCCTGCCGCCAGTGCTCCTGGAAGAGTTTGTAGTTGCTGGCGTGGCCGGGGTCGTGCAGCCAGAGCAGCCCGCTGGGCTCCAGGACGCAGTGGGACGCGGGGGGCTCGGGGGGGCTGGGCGGGCTCAGCTCGCCCCCCGCCTGCCTCTCCTGGATCTTCCTCTCCACCACGCGGGCGATGATGCTGTCCAGGATGCTGGTCAGGCGGTTGTCCTGGAAGGGGGGGGGGATGCAAATGGAGAGCCCCTCAGCCCACTCTGGCCCCCCCCAGCCCTGCCCAAGGCAGGGTGGGCAGCATGGGAGGGGGTGCCCTGGTCGCCCCGGGACTCACGGTGGGCAGGGTGGGCACCACGGGGGCGAAGGCCATGCGCACCCCGTCCTGCCCCAGGCACAGCTTCACGGCGGTGGAGGCCAGCAGGTCGCACAGGGTGGTGGTCTGCACGGCCCCCCGCGCCGGGGGCTGCCCCGGCGACGGCGGCCCCCCCTCGGGGCTCTCTGCTCGGGGGGGGTGGGGGTGGGAGAACACGGTCAGGGTCGCCCACACCGCCCTCTGCATGTCACCCCCCTTACCCAGCACCCCGAGAAGGGGAGGGGGTGCAGCATCCCTGACCCCCCCGGGGCGGGGCCGTGCCCGCGGCGGGGGGGTCGCAGCCGGCCCTACCTTCCTTGATGGGCCGGGAGGTGTCGGCTTGGCCGTGGCTGGGGGGTGGCAGGGTGGGCACCGCGGCCCCCGGCGGCTCCTGGAACACCCGTGTGGGCGTCAGGGGGGAGCCACATCCCCCCCTACCCCCCCTGTGCAGGGCTTGGGGTGCACCTGCACCCCATTCCCCCCCCCCCATCCACAGCTCCCCCCGTACCTGCCTGCCCGGGGGCTCGGCCGGGCTCTGCTCCGCAGCCCCTTCCCCGCAGGAACAGTGGGACTCGATGCCAAACTTGGCCCTGACCTCGTGCAGAAGCTTCCAGAGCCTGGTCAGGACTGGGGACAACAAGGACAGGGGTGTCAGGCCCCCTACAGCGGGCGGGGGGTGGGTCCCAGGGCTGGGGGACACACTCACCACAGGTGGGGACGAACTGCGTGGGGACCAGGGCCGTGACGGGGTGCTCTGGCCCGGGGGTGCACTCGGGCTGCTGTGCTGGACCCTCTGCGTCAGAGAGAGGGTGTGTTCGTCCCCACCGAGCCCCCCCGCCAAGGGCTGGCACCCCCTTTTCATCCTTCCCCCCCTTCCCACGTACCGGGGCCGTCGGCCTCCCTCCTGCCGCGGTGGCAGGCGGGGCACAGCTGGAAGCCACATCTGGCGCAGCTCCAGTGGGAGTTGAAGAAGCCGCGCTGGCAGGCGTCGCAGAGCTGGGAGGCTCCTTCCCCCCGCCTCCAGGCCGTCACCCCTGGGGGGAAGCACGGCCTCAGCCTCCCCAGTGTGTGCCCAGTGCCCCCCAGTGTCCCCCCATCCCAGTCCCCCCTTACCCTCGGGCTCGCCGGGGGCTCCCGGCCACGTGTCCCTGTCCCTGCGGACGGCGTCGCAGAAGGGGTCCCCCAGGACCCCCAGGAGGTACTTGGCCAGGCAGAGGCTGCTCCCCACACTCCTGCCCCCCGGCTCGGGGCCGGGTTCCTCTGGCAGCTCCCCCTCGGCCTCCCCCAGGGTGCAGAGGCCGTCGACGCTCAGCTCCCCGTTGTCCCCCAGGGCGAACCTGCAGGGAGAAAGGGGGCGGGAGAGGGGCTCAGAAACGTGGTGATGAGACAGGAGGTTAAAAATCGGGGTGATGGGAGAGGGTCCTCAAAGGTGGGAGGGGATTCTCTAAAGTGGGGTGACAGGAGAGGACAGTGTGAAGAGGTGAGAGGGGACGGTATAAAGTGGGGACGCTCCGAAATAGGGTGATGGGAGAGGCTGTTCTCAAGTGGGGTGACGAGACAGGACGCTCTCAAGTGATGGGAATGATGGGGAGTGCCCCGAGGCAGGGTGGCAGGAGAGATGGCTCCAAAGAGGGGTGAAGGGAGGGGATGCTCCAAAGAGGAGACGTTAAAAAAGGGGGTAACAGAAGGGGATGCTCCGAAGTGGGGTGATGGGAGGGGATGCTCCATGGGCCCCCCACCCGTGAGCTGCCCAGGAGCCCCGGGCTCACCTGCGGAAGTGCAGCAGCCTGCAGGTGCTCTCAGGGGGCTCCTCCTCCTCCTCACCCTGGGGGTCCCCCGTGGCCCGGGGGGCACAGGCACAGCAGCGGGGGATGCCCGGGGGCAGCGCAGTGCAGGGCAGGCTCTGCAGGCACCACGGCTCCCGCCGGCTCGGTGGCTCTGGGGGACACAGGGAGTGCTTGGAGACACCGTGGAGCCCCATCCACGCCAGCCAGGAGGGACTGGGAGCGTCCAAGGCCAGGCTGGACGGGGCTTGGGGCACCCTGGTCTGGTGGAAGGTGTCCCTGCCCATGGCAAGGGGTTGGAACGAGATGGTCTTTAAGGTCCCTTCCAACCCAAGCCGCTCCAGGACTGTGGGACTCTGTGACTGTCACGCTGTGGCAGGGGCTGGAAACTGGGCCAGAAAGTAGGGCTGGAAAGTAGGGCTGGAGCTCTGCAGAGGTCAGGGCTGAGACGCCAACTCCTCCCCGGGGAGTCACTGACCCAGTGATGGTACTTCCACCCCTTGGGCATCCCAGTTGAGGGTGCCACGCTGCCCCAAAGGAACATTTCCACCCCAGCGGGCATCCCACCCGAGGGTGCCATGCTGCCCCAGAGGAGTGTTTCCATCCATTCCTGCCCTGGGAGTCGCTGCCAGCCTCAAGCCATGCCAGGGAAAGCCCCAGCACAGCGGCCTTCCCAGCCCTCACGTGTTCCCAGCTCGTGTTGTGGGCGCTGGGAACGGGAATGGAACGTTCCCTGTGGGATTGGGTGATGCCACCACCCTCTCGCCAGCCCCACCGGGCACCCTCCTTCCTTACCTCCCTCTCCCAGCTCCATCCTCCTCTCCTCGGGGTCCCCTCGGCTCTCTGTGCCCTCCCCAGGGCACACAGTGGCCTTCGTGCCCCTCTTGGCCGCCCCGGCGCCCTCGCTGGCAGCTCGGGGTCCCTCGGCGGCGCCATGGGGGCGTTTGGTCGAGCGTTTGCCCTCCCCGGGGGGCTCGGGACCCCCGTCCCGCCGGGCAGCCTTGAGGCGAGGCAGCGACTGCTCCGAGTGCCGCGTCAGCCAAGTCTTCTTCAGCTTGGTGTGGTTGCTGGGGGAGCACGGGAAACGCCCCCCGGGCATGCCCAGGGCAGGCTCGAAGGGGTTGGGCACCCTGCAGCCCACCCCCGGGCACCCATCGCAGCCGGGGGTGGGGCAGAGACAGGCTGGGGGGGGCTCCGGCTTGGCGGGAGCCGGTGGGTAGTGCCCGTCCGCGAGCAGAGGCGACGGGTTGGGCTCCCTGGATCCCGGTGGCGAACCGGGCTGGAGGCTTTGGTACCCCAGGCGCTCATCTTTGGGCTCCGAGGGCCGTCCCGGCCCCGTTTCCATGGAAAAATCGGCGCCGTGGGGCCGCGCGCCCACCCAGGGACCCCCGCAGCCCCCCGCGCCGGGCTGCAGGAGGAAGAGGGGGTGGCTGGCGCTGGGGGGAGGCGTGTGGGAGTGGGGAGCGGGCACCGCCGAGCTGCCCCCGGCTCGGCCATCCCTCCACGGGGCTCCCGGTGGCTCCGGCCCCGCCGGCTCCCCCTCCCCGTCTCTGTCCTGCCCTGCCTGGCCCTTGCCCAGCAGCTGCGGCGCCGCGTGGTCCTTGGCGGGGGGGTGGAAACCGGGTTCTTTCTTCGGGTAAAACTCCTGCAAAGGGAGCAGAGAGGGGTTGGTGTCACCCCGGCTCTGGGTCCCTGTCGCTGCCTGTCACCCGCGTCGCTGCGGGGCGGGGGGGTGACGGGGAACATCCCGTGGCCCTGCCTTAGTTTCCCCACCGAGGCTGCCCCGGTGCTTCCCCGTCGCCGGCGGTGGGGTGATGGGGGTGTCTGCGTGTTCCCCCCCCCCCCCCACGGCAGCGTGGGAAAGGAATGGGGAGCCGCAGCGGCACGGGGTGCGA